AACGGTAAGGCAAAACAATTCTTTGTTTTCGTTGTTCACTGAAGATATTTGGGTTTAAGATCAAAAGATGAGTATGAGACAATAGTTCAGAATTTCAGCTTTTATTTCCTGGTAATCACATCTATAGATGGGTTAAACAACTCACAACATACCACTCTTTGTTTGAACCCACCCATTTTTCAAGTGAGCAAAAGTATTGGAACATGTGACTGACAGGTGTTTCTTGTTGCCCAGGTGTTGCCTATTAGGTTGATTGTCCAAACATTAAATAGCTCTGCATGACTAGTTTACGTTTTCATCCTTGTTTCAAACCTATAAAGACTGAATTTCCTGTTAAAGAGGATAAACCAACATGAAGACCAGAGAGCTGTCTATGGGAAAAAAGCAAGCCATTGTCAAGCTGAGAAAAGATCGATCAGAGTCATTGAACAAACATTAGGCATAGCAAGCACAACAATTTGGAATGTCCTGAAAAAGAAAGGACTGGTAGAAGAGGGGACAATAGCAGAGGGGACACACACGGGTGGAATGACATTTTAAAATACACAACGTCATACCCGTGTTTACTCTTTTAGGGAAATTGCTTTTTCTGATGTTGAAGCAATCTCAAGCAAGATCCCAATTTGCCAGTCTCTCTAACGTACTGTAAGGGAACTGCTGTCGTGTGAAAAGATCTAACTAAAGATTCTTCAAAAAGTATGTTTTCACAAGAAACAAAAATCATCATGTAAACCCTCTGATTGAGATATTCAACACAGCCTCAATGGAAACATGTTTGCTTCTTGCGCATTTGCTTTTCACAGTGAGGTGTGCTAAAAGCAGTTTCATCTGAAACAAATGAATGTGAATCTGGCAGCGTTTTATTATGTTGGCTGTTGAACATATCATGGTAGTTTGGAAATTTAATGTCCAGTGACGAGCTGTGGTTAATCAGTGAGGAGCTAAGGTTAATCGCGTGTGAAAAATAAATAGTATTAACAATTGTGAGATAAAAACACATTTTCTGAAGCACCCATGCCATTTTAGCTTGATCCTACAAATATGATCTTTACAATATGCTACAATATGATATTTTTTATTGTGACTCATGTTTCATACCAAAGCACTTCACTTTGCAAGTGCCATGTTGTACCAGGTGAGCTCGAGCAAGTTCAGAAAAGCCATACGGAGCTGGTTATGTTATGCAAATGACAAAATTAATTAGTTCACAAATCACAAACTATGGTAAAGGTGGTTTAAGATCATAATATAGTATTTGGTACCAGGAAGTAGAAACCACACAAAATAAGTTGTAATATGTTTACCGTACTAAAAGTCTATTAAAAAAATAAAAATTACCAGTGTATTACCACCACTAGTGGTAATTTTGGCTGAAAACAGCAGTTAATTGTATACAGTAGGTATGTTTGTGAAGTCATTATAGACCTTGTGCACCAGAGAAACGTGGGTGCCATCATCTTTAGAATATTGTCTTTTAACTTCCGTTTTTGCGGTCGCTCTGTATATCTCTATGGCATCGTCGAGGAGTAATTAGCTGGTGAAGTGAATTTACTTATTGTAGAGTTAACAAAAGTTATCATGAGCATTGTAATGTTTATCATAAAGCAGATGTCTTAACAAATGTTGACCGAGAATTTTTTACGAGCAGTTCATTCATACCTGTGCAAGATGTGAAAATACAAAAATACAAATGAGCGCAACGCTGAAAAGGGGCGGGGCTACATAAGGTCTATTATGTAGGTTGAGGCATATACAGTAATATGATTATAAATATTTTGTAGATTTAAAAATGTATTTAAAAAATGTATTGTGCCATTGAATAGTTTAATATAGTTGTCTACATTTGTTAGTAGCTAACTGTAGTGTATTTTAACTACTTTGAATTATAGTAAGAAGCCTGTTAGCTTGGCCACTATCATGCTATAATTTTTTTTTTTTTTATTAATTATGAATAAAATGATTCCGAGGCTGAGTGTTCAGATTCAGGATGAAGAAGTTTCATGAAATCAAAAAAAATATTTGGACATCTGGTGGTTGATAAAATGGATCATGTTCACATGTGATGAACTACACCTTTGATTACTCTGATAGGACAAACAAAAAAAAAAAACTTTGGGACCAGTTGGTTTAATGTCTCTCCAATTTATTTATTTTTTTTAAATAGTAACAATAGTTCAGATAAAACCTCTAGCAGCATATTTGCAGATTACTTGGTTGACGATATTTTAGTATTGCAGTGAAATTCTTAAATGTTAGTGTCCAAACACTGTGACTGTAGATGAGATGTTTATAATCTCTTTTTCAGATTATACATGTTAAGATCTAAGATGCTTATTCGTTAATAAAAAAAAAACATTTTAAATGTGAATTATGAGATTTACCAAATTACAGAGTTGTTTAAAAGTAGTTTACGTATGTCAGACAAAGAATAGAGGATGTGCCTGAATGTTTGCATTTAAATTGCTTAATTTAATAATAAGTATTATGATTAAAATCAATTTGTTTGTTTCCATAGCAATAACAGCGTTGAATCAGAGATTGATGAGTCCTCCTACACTAATGCTGTCTTTGTTATTCAAGAAGATAAATCAGATAAATCAGTGTCAATGTTCTCTTCTTCACACTTAAATGTATTATACGTTTTCCCTTTAAAATTCAATACAAGCATACGACTTCATCTTTGTATTTTGAATGACATTAATCTAAAAAATAAAAAATAAATAAATAAAGACTGGCCAGACCCAGATGAATATATTGACCCCAGATGAAATATTGACCCCAGATGAAAGTCAAGAAAAAAAAAAACATTTGTGTAATGAACCTTTTACTCAAAATGCTTCAAAATCAGGTCACATCATAATCTAGTTTGTCAAGCTAGGCAGACGCAGACACGGTTATTGCCCTAATTCACCTTACGTTAGGTCCAAATATTTAATTTGACAGAAAATAGACATAGGCCTAAGTGACAAAGAACAGAGTTATCTTTATGTCATTTCTTTATAAACGTAGGCTATTTTAAGATCAATCCTTCAGGGGCATTTAACATGTCAGTTTGTCAGAGAGGGTGGCAATCATTTATCTTGACTTAGGCTACAGCTAGAGCATTAAATAAATACTGACATATACACTCACACATAGACAAACACATACATGCTCAGTCACTCAAAAAAAATTAGGAAAACAATTAGCTTAATTAAGAAAACTTTTCCTAACTTAGTTAATGTTGCAACATTTATAGCCTATCTCCAAAATGTCCAATAAACAGAACTCACCTCTTGTAAAAGCGTGGTAAAGGATTCTTTTCAAAGTCGGTGTTCATCCGTTGATGAACAGAAGTGTGATCAGTGGACATCTGTTTGCTGTCTTCATGAATCACTGGCGCACGAAAGAGCCGCTCACTAGGAATAGTAGATGTGATCATCCAGAGAGCAGAATTCTCCGCAACTTTTTTTTTTTTTTTAAAGAAGCGAATTGGGTTGATTCGTAAAAGTATCCGCAGATTCCTGGGAAGCTTATTCTGTCAAGTGTGTTCAACAAATCGAATGTGTGATGATGTCACGGCTACATTATTACGAGTCGTTCAAAGAAACCTTTTTCAATTTTATTTGGTGATTTTTTTGAATAAATTATTATAAGATTTTAGACAATGTATGCCTATGCTGGGAAAACTGCGAAAAAAATATATGTAGGCTATATATTTAAAAAAGTACTTTTGATAAATTAAAATGAGCACTTATGAGACGTTATGAAGAATCCATATACAGCTGACTTGAAAACAACTGTTTTATTCTAAGTGGAACGAGTCGCCCCCTTATGGGCGCTGACATGTTGATGCTATTGTGTTGGCTATAGGCTAAACATTTACTTTACAAAGTTTGATCATTAAAGTACGCAACATGAAAAACAAATAGTACAGACAAACTTAACAATCGAACCTGCATCGACAGCATGGATTAGCAGGTTACTATTGTACTGAATGTCTGTGTAGGCCATACAGAGAAAAATGTAGACACAAAGTTAAAATAGGCTAATTGTGTTTAGAAAGGTTTTTATGTTTAAAAATCATTACCTAGACCAAATTTTGTGAATGTAGCACAACTCATGGTAACAGGGTTGACATTGCTTTCGAAAGGATGAAAATGATTTAATGTAGGCCTAGGCTAGGCTATAACTTTGTCAGTGTTAATGTCAATGTATTCTTTACACTGCATATACATTATTATACAGAATTTGTACAAATCAAAGCAGACATGTCGCAAATTGAGCTTTTTTATTTTATTGACCAGATTCAAAAATTTGGCATTCCAATTTTCAAGATTTTTCTTTTAGAATTTTAAAACTTTCAAAAATCCTTTGTAAACGTTATTTTTTATGGATGCAGGCTATACATTAATGAATGTCTTATTATTCTTTATTGTTTTACCTTGTTTTCCTGACAGTAGCCTGTGATACAATTGCATCATTCGGAATGGGGCATAGTGAATAATCACTATACTTTTATGAAGTATGAAGCAGTAGCAGTATGAACTTAAAATTCACAACAACAGCACTCTTGTTACCAAATAAACATGAATAGGCCTAAACATTTTTTTCTAACGTTGTTGTTGTTGTTGTGTGTATACGTGTGTGGGACCTTATTTCCACATTTAATAAAATGTGTGGAAAATACAAGTAGCCTAACATAAGTAACACAAGTAACATAATAAATTTAAAAAATATATATTTCCATCACAAATGCAGAAAAGTGACAACAAAAGTACCTTACATAAATGAAGAACTATCAAAAATGCAGAACATAATTTCAACACAAAAAAAATCAATTTGTTCTCTGGACTCTTCGTTGTTCTTGTTTCAAAAAGATAAATTAGAAATCTAGAGAAATTAGAGCAAATGGTAAAAATGAACTTGACCACGTGTGTTAAAAATATACTGTATTGGTGAATAGATTTTAAGACATCCAGCCATGGGCCTGTTAACAGACAACTCCACCGAGAGACCGATCTGCGTGTCTGCAGACCCGCCTATCCCAGCCATTTTGTTTCTGCTGCGCCTCTTCGCCATGGCGGAGATGGACGATGGTGATGAGCCGGGTTTAGCGCACACTCACAGCAGTTCTTCAGGATCCAAATCAGGGGGAGATAAGATGTTCTCCCTCAAGAAGTGGAATGCTGTGGCAATGTGGAGTTGGGACGTGGAATGCGACACATGCGCTATTTGTCGGGTTCAAGTAATGGGTGAGTGTTTCGCTAGCTAACAGGCTAACGTTACCTGAGGTAACTGTTAGCATGTATGTGACTGTTAGCTGGTTAACCTCACAGACCATGAATGTAGTTAGCGTTCGTCTGACACACTAACAGTTAATTAAAACTGCTGCCTAACGTTAACGTTACACAGACAACATTTGTGGAAATCATAAGTGGACGTTTAAAATTAAATGCTGACTCAAACACTGGGAACTCGTATTCTGGTCAAAAATGTTACGATCAAATGCACCTAGTTCTATAAAAAAAAAAAAAACAAGAAATCAGAGAATCGAAACTTTCTGCAACATTTGCTCATCGATCGTTCGAATGACCAGTGAACCTGTAACTTACGTTATGCTGTCTAAAAAACGTTAATCAATTCTTTGAATCGTCGCCGTTTATGATGTTACAAGAATTGCCAAACCTAATGTGCTATGCTAACAATATTATGCTGTAACCTGCTGAATAAAATCTTTAAGAATATTGAAGCGAACGGTTGAACACCTGCGATGCTCAGAAATGCTGCATCAAATGAATCTGCGCAGACGTCAAAAACGAACAATGTCCAGAAGACTGCGTTGAATGTGCAAAATGCACTTGTCATTGCATTGAACATTCAAATGCGTTTATTATGTATATTCAATACACCAACATGCAATCTAGGTAGGTAGGTCAGGCTTTGAGACTATCTAAGACAGACTATAATTGTACCCAACTTCAAACTGTGTCTTCTTCAGAAACCTGATTTAGATTTAAACTTATTTCTGTCCTAAATTAATATAAAGAACTAGGTATGTTTATGAACGGTGTGTATTTTAAAATGTATTTCAGATGCATGCTTGAGGTGCCAGGCAGAAAACAAACAAGAGGACTGCGTTGGTGAGTCAACTGTAACATCACTGCTGGCATACTGATTACCTTTCTAATTAATAAATTGCATTAAGCCCTTAGAAGCAGATGGCACCACAGTCCTTTGCCATTACAGTTTGCCCTTCACTAATATTTTCTGTCATATTGTATCTCTTCATTTCTCTAAATTTTAATGCACAATAATACTAAAAATGACCTTGTCATTTGATTGTATTAGAAACATTTGACTTACAAAACGGATAACTTACAGAGTACTTATAAGTGGCAATCCAACTAAAGCAACCAGGGGTTAAGTACCTTGATCAAGTGCACAATCCATAGTATTCATTTGCGTCATCAAACGCGCCCTGCCTCTACACTGGTAGGTTAGACAACTGGTATAATCAAAGGACAGTCTCACACTATGATATTTATAGCAGCAAAGACATAAAGAGGTACTTCACCTAGAACTGAAAATTGTCATCATATATTCACCCTCACATTTTTCTTCTGTGGAACTCAAATAGATATTTTTAAGAATATCTTTTGATTTTAAATAAAAGTCAGTGGGGTCCAAAGCATCACCGTCTCTTATTCTGTCTTTCTCTCAGTGGTATGGGGAGAGTGCAACCACTCCTTCCACAACTGTTGCATGTCCCTCTGGGTCAAGCAGAACAATAGATGCCCACTATGCCAACAGGACTGGGTGGTACAGAGGATCGGCAAGTGAGGATTGGAGCTTTGTACACACATTTCCTCCGTCCACTTTGGCACTTTCTCCCCTTAGGGAGACAAGACTGAATATCAGATCATCTCCAGCCGCTGAATGTGTAGGAATACCTATCTGCATGTATTTGACTGTCAAAGTGAAACCATGGATATTGGCAGAAATCCAGGTGACACTGGTTAGCTTTACCCTTCTGTCACCTCACGCAGCATTAACAAGAACCAGCCAGAAGAGCTCCGGGAAACAGCAGATTCACTTGGGTGTTTGTGGCATCATGTGTGACATTCTAACTGAAGTTGTACTATGAATGCGTGTTTTAAGTGTGCTAGAAATAAATTACAAAAAGAATTTAATGTTTTATTGGTGTTATACTGATTACTGGGTGAGGGTTTTTTTTTAAATCATGCAAGTATTTCTGGTGAGAATTTACGTTTTATATATTGATGGTTGTTTAAATTATTATTCATTATTAGTGTACAGGTCTCTAAAAATCCCTCAATGGGCAGATTTAAAGCAATGGTTCTTGTCATCAATAAACTTCAATATTTATAAAGATGGCTTGCAGGCAAATTTTACTTTTACATGGGAACTTGCTAAGAGAGAAATCTTTCTATGAAATGTTTTACCGCACAAAACTGGGAGAAAAAAAAACAAATGTCTATTCAACACTGAAAAAACGGTGAGAAAGCATTTTGTAAGTCTTCTGCAAGTACATTTCTTCTTGCTCCATCCTCAGCTAATTCTAGTGAAACAATTAGCTCAGGATTTGAGTGCTAATGATTAGTCCGGAACCCATAAGGACAATTTCCAAGACAAAGATTTAGTTACTAGAAATGTGACGCCAGTGGTACTGTAAACTGTTTGTACTGATATCACCCCTGGTGCATTCTGGGGTTAAGGGCTTTTCTCTACAGTGCAATCGAGACTAAATATTATGCACTAAATTGTATTTGGTAGTTGACATGACATGTTAAGCAGCCAGTGTGACAAGTGTCCTGTATTGCAAGTAAAAAAAGTTGCAAGTACTGTAAGGCTGCATCATTATTGCAATATGTCAGCTGACTGCCAGACAACCTATTAATGCTAACATGGCTGCCCCAGTGCACAAAGCTTGATTAAAGCAGCCAAGAGGACAGATCTTACTATACTGTTTACACCTGATGAAGGCTTATTTTCATTTTATTGTCAAAATGAGCTCTAAAACTGTCCTATGTATGATTCTAAAGTCTTCAGACTCAAAGAACTTAAAACAATTGAGATCTATGAGCTTATAACAGTATCAATAAAATGTAATTGGAGTTAAGCTGAGGCAAGCATCACTAATATGGCTCATACTTGGGGTTCAGAATTTGAATAGACCTTGGAAAAAAAGCTATAATTTTACTATAATCTGGCAGATAATCATGCATCATTAACCCTTGAACGCTATCAACCTGCTTGGTATTCTTTAATCAATTCATTATAAACAACACAAGAAAAAAAAAAAAAAAGAAACGTTAAAAGAATGCCTGTTTTCCCAATTTTTTATTTTTTTTTTGTAAAACATTGTATAGGGTCTCTAACTACCCAAGTATATAACAATAATGAATCTTAGATGACTGAATAAATCTAATTCACCTTTATTCCAATAGGTGACAATGTCTAATACCCAATGATGAAGTGACGTTTCACTCGTAGTCGCTGCAGGCAGAAAACAAAAGAATAGCATCAGCACAACTTGAAGTGTTTATTAGTGTCACTGTCACTTAATTGTGGATCTGGTAAAGAAGCTGTTAGCGATCAAAATATTAAGTTTGAAGATGTTGAAAATTATCGGTTTGAGACTGAGATTGAATGAATATGAGCCAGATGCTGAATGCACTGGGAAATTAGCTCTGGCGAGGACAGTGATGATGGTATAAATCAAACATCTGCTCGAACCGAACCTTTCCACGCTCTAAAAAGTAAAGTTCTGTAATTGTTACTCTAATATCAGGGGAGTTTTATATTATTGTGAAAGTAGAGATAAAAAATATATATAAATTTTGGGCAAAATTTTGAGAACCACTTGCTTAAAAACTGGATAGCAACACCCTATTGCATTAAAGCAGTAAATTTTGCATGGGCAAGCACTCATATTTTTGTTTAGAAACCCATCAAGTTTTATTTATTTTCTCGAACTTGAAGTTGACAGAGGACTGAGCACATCAGGCAACAATTGCATTGTCTATCCCTTAGCATTGTGGCTAAACATAGTACAAAGCCTCTTAAGTTGGGTACGGCATAAGTTCCTTCCGTGAGCAGTATCCACGTATTAGCATGCAAAGACACTTACTTAAGAGAAAACCCCTATTGAGGTTTTTAATTCTGACTAAGCAACTACATTAGTGGCTCAAGACTCTGACTTGAGACGCTGAAGCCCCATTCTTTTTGACTCATCTGCATATCACAGCTTGCCACTGTGCTGCCTATATTTGATGTCCTTATTCGTTGTTGGCTGCAGCATCACATAGTTGACCCTTCACCTCGCCGCAGCCATGTCTGACATGGGGGGACTGGGCAACTTAGTGGCCAACACAGCCTACCTGAAAGCCCAGAGTCAAGACGACAAGGAGATGAGGAAACGAAGGCGTACCCTAATTCTTCCCCAACTTGAAAACTGTACGAGGGTGTGTGCAGGTATTCCCAAGGACTTTGAGGACATCTGCGAGAGGCAGCCCATGGGGAAAACATGCTTCCGACAGTTCCTCTTAGCCTCCAATCCAGAATATCTTGCCGCTGCAGAGTTCCTGGAGGAGCTGAATGACTGGAATTTAGCAGAGGCAGGTGCTAAAGAAAAAGCCAGGCAGAATATCATTAACAAATTCTGCAAAACTGACTCCAAAAGTTTCCTGTCTTATCTGACAGAGGACATGGCGGAGAAGTGTAAAGCCGTCTCTGAGAAGGACTTTGAGGAAGTGATGATGGGACAGGTGAAAGAAGCCACGCAAGAGTTTCTGAGAGGAAATCCTTTCAATGAGTATCAGACTAGCCCGTTCTTTGAGAGATTTGTTCAGTGGAAGGAATTCGAGAAGCAGCCCATCTCTGATAAATACTTCTATGAGTTCAGGACTTTGGGGAAGGGGGGCTTTGGAGAGGTGAGTGTTTGCACCTCTTACCCTGTCACAAACCTAATGTTGAAATATATTACATGTTTTAGAAGTTCTCTGTTTTAGCTGTGGATTCTTGGTTTGGGTAACAGCTTGAATAATTTGATAGTTATTGTTCAGTTCAACTCTAGTTACAGTTATCATGTCTCATGAATGTTTATTATAAAACTAAATTGTCTGCTAATATCATTTTGTTAACTTTTAGAGGTTATGTGAGACATTTTATGTCATTACATATTTCAACAGTGAAATATTTCATTTCAGAGTTAAGCAGGATATTAAATGAGAAACAAATGTTGAAGAGTGCATGATTTTGTTCATTAGGAATGGATTAGATCATGTCCAGTAGCCTGTTTAGTGATGTCAACAGAAAAGGCAATTGATTTCAAACAAACAGTAATATATTACATTTTCAATAACAACCTATCACCTACATGAAATCAATCAATTCCTGATGAACAAATTCAATTCATGCCCTACATTTTTCCTTGTTCAAGAAGAAGTTGCATTTGGAAATATGTCACAGTATCCCAACTTCTGCCTCATGCTCAGGATTCAATATGTTCAATATGTTCAATATGCAGATACAGCAAAGTAAGCCATTCATAGGTTGATTTCACTTAATATTTAATTAATGTGGTACAATCAAACATTGCTATATTAGTTTCAGAAGCTGGCATGTCCACTTACCTGTAGAGTGAGTTTGGGGTGGAACTAGTTATTTCAATTAATGCAAGATGGGGAGAGTGTTCTGGAAATTCATTCGAATTACAGGCAATATTATGCAGATTGCTTCACCATTAAGACAAACCTAAAGAGACAATACACAAGGTGAAGATCCTTTGATTCATTGTGTAATATATTGGCTGAATCCCAAATGCCAACTGTAATAAAATCCCCTGGAAATAATACTCCTGATACCTTTGACATAATATTCAGTGCACATAATAAAATAATTCCTTCATCTGAATAGATTTGCAGGTGTGTATTCTTACTGCTGCCCCATATTCTGTGTTTTTCCATAATAAACAACAGCATTTTTTTCTCTTCTAATGTTTTTTTTTAAATCTCTCTCTGTACAGGTGTGTGCTGTTCAGGTCAAAAACACGGGTCAGATGTATGCCTGCAAGAAGCTGGACAAGAAACGCCTGAAGAAAAAAGGTGGGGAAAAGATGGCTCTACTGGAGAAACAAATCTTGGAGAAGGTGAACAGTCTGTTTTTGGTGAACCTGGCCTATGCATTTGACACAAAGACACACCTGTGTCTTGTCATGACTCTGATGAATGGAGGAGATCTGAAGTACCACATTTACCACATTGGGGAGAATGGCATTGAGATGGAGCGAATCATTCACTACACAGCTCAAATCACCACTGGTATCCTACACCTACATGCTATGGATATTGTGTACCGTGATATGAAGCCAGAAAACGTCCTACTGGACAGTCAGGGCCAGTGCAGGTTGTCAGACCTGGGCCTAGCTGTGGAACTACCAAACGGGAAAACTATCTCTCAAAAGGTAAGGACGGGAAGATAATACAAGCGTTTATGAAGAAAATATTATATCCTTGGAAAATGTGGGAGATATAATTGTAGACAAGTGGTTAATCTGAGCTGGTAGATGAAAAGCTTGAAGACTGAACTTTAAAGTATACGTGGGCACCTGAAAAGGTAACTGCTGAACACCTGAGTCCTAAAAAGTCCCAATACTACCCCCAAAAATAAATGTGTGGTTACAGCTTTGCAAAGTACTTATTGATACTATAACACTTAAGCATGGCTAGCCAACCCTGCTCCTAGAGACTTCCTTCCTGTAGAATTTAGTCCTAACCCTGCTTTAATAGCCCTTCCTGTCATTTTCAGTAACCATGAACTCTTTGATTAACTGGATCAGGTTGTGTTTGATTGGGGTTGAAGCTGAACTCCCGGTGAGTTCTCCAGGAGCTGGGTTGGCTACAACTGCGCTAAAGCAATATTTTCCAACACTGTTCCTGGAGGCATACCATTATTGAGCAGCAATTTTGAGCAGAATATGAACCAACATCAGCTGGCATGGAAGACGGGCACACTAATGGCTCTTTCAGACTGCACGATTTTCAAAGTAGTCAGGTCGCTGCTCTTTTCACACTGCATGACTATCTTGGCCAGCATTCAGTCGCTGCTGTGTTCACACTGGACGATGGATCGGCGACAGAAGGTTTCACACTGCATGACTTTAGAAAAATCGCCGACGGACTCTGTCTAGCACGCTGCACGCAAACTACATTTCACAACAAACACGCGTGAGATATGAAAAGGAAACAACGCGCGACACCACACGTGCAAGACCGGAGTTCAACTTCTCACGTGAGACTTTTTTTTCGACCCGGTTGTGGTACAGCTGGTGAAACAGACACGAGTGCTCCTGCCAAATTTCTACTAATTTTTCTTCCATTTATTGTGTCCAAATAGACAGAGAAGAAGCTTTTTTTGTTGAAACAATGCCATATCATGTTGATATGTGATCTATAACTCCTCCCCGAACTCCCTGCTGCTCTGTATCTTGCTCTCTCACTGGCTGCCGGTGATCGCCGATGTAGTTTTCAGTCAAAACACTTTTCACACAGCAGGATTTTGAATCGCCGACAGGTCCAGATATTTAGCATGCCAAATATCTCACGGGCGTCGGCGACTCGTCGGTGATTCTCTCAGTTCGCGTCTTTGTTCATTCACACTGCGTGATTGTCACTCGCGTGAACGAGCGCCGATTTGCCTGTGATTTCGGGCATTTGTCGGCGATTTCTCAAAACCTGTCGGCGAGCCAAAATCGTGGCTAAAATCATGCAGTCTGAACTCGGCATAACAGGACACTAAAGACTGCAGCCACTAGCGTCATTCGCTAGCATGCCAGAGAAGTGAGGTTTACTTGTACAGCTCTAACTAGCTGGCCTCCGTTACACCAACAGTACACATTTTGGATGTACAGTACACATTTCACATCTCATTTATCTGACCCAGCTAAGAAGTCTCCACTAACAAACTTTGTAGCATTAGAGGTGCTTATAGAAAGAGTTTGTGTTAGCTGTATCCAAAAATAGCATGTCCACTGAGGTACTTACTTTGCGAGGTTCTGTGTAGTATGAATGTGTGTAGTATGAATGTAATCCGGACATACTACATGTGTCATGTTGTCATTGTGACCTTTCAGCATCAGAAAAGCTTTACTGCCATTCACAAATTTTCTCTCATGGGATAGTAAATTGTCCGTCAAAAACACCTTGCCAGAAGTACAAACTACTTGCCTACTGTGACAAACACTGTTTCTCATTTACATTTACATGTATTCATTTGGCTGACTCTTTTATCTAAAGCGAATTACAATTGCTATTTATGTCAGTGGTTGCACGCCTCTGGAGCAACTTGGGGTTAAAGAGATACTCCACTTTTTTTTTTGGAAATAGGCTCATTTTACAACTCCCTCAGAGTTAAATGTTGAGTTTTTACCTTTTTTGAATTCATTCAGCTGATCTCCGGTTCTTGCAGTACCACTGTTAGCATAGCTTAGCATACGTCATTGAAGTGCACAAGACCATTAGCATTTCTCAGAAAAAAATGACCAAAGTGTTTTGATATTTTTTTCTATTTAAAACTTGACTCTTCTGTAGTTACATCGTGCATTAAGATCGGTGAAAAATGTAAAGTTGCGATTTTCTAGGCTGATATGACTAGGAACTATACTCTCATTCACTGCCGTACCATGAGTGCAGCAGGCGCAATGTTATGATGCAGCACCTGAAAATAGTCCCCAGCTTCCAACATGACTGGGACTAAGTTTGTGCATCATGCCTGCTGCACTCATGGTACGGCAGTAGAGTTTCTTGATTATTACCCCTGCTGAAAAAAACAATAGAAACCATTACAGAATTCCTAATGGTTTTAATGGTTATAAAGGAAAATGTATTGGTTTTAATGGAAACTGTAATGGTCCTAGTAGGTCTCTATTGGTAATTTGCTTTCTTCTATTGGTGGCATGTTTTGTCTTTTTCTCTGTATTGGTTTTAATTGAAACTGTGATGGTCCTAGTAATTCTCTATTGGTAATTTGCTTTCTTCTATTGGTGGTATATGTTTTCTATTGGATACCATTAAGGACCAATAGAACACCTTTGAAAATTATAGGTTACATGTTGGTATCTACTGGACACCATTATGAACCATTAGGACTCCAATAAATTTAGTGTTTCCTTTGGTTTGATAATAATGATTTAATGTAGGCTACACATGATTAATAGGCTAGATACAGTTTTTAAAAACTGGTCATAACCATTGGTCAAAACATTGGTCCCATGTGATTTCAGGTTTAACAGCTCTTGTCGGGAGTGATCAGGTCAAAACCTGACCCACACACATAGGTTGTCCTAACCATTAAATATATTCAAATCATGACCAATACAAATTTGTAATGGAAACCATTAAATATGTTCAAATCATGACCAATACAAATTTGTAATGGAAACCATTAAATATGTTCAAATCATGACCAATACAAATTTGTAATGGAAACCATTAAATATGTTCAAATCATGACCAATACATGTTTGTAATGGAAACCATTACAAATCAGAACCAATACAAACTCTAAAGGAAACCATTAAATATATCATTACCAATACAAATGTGTAATGGAAACCAATACATCCTAATAGAATATGGCCCAAAACACACTACGTAATGGACACCATTTTGTAATGGTTTTAATGGTTAACGGCTGATGGTTTGTAATGGTTTTGTAGTGGAAACCATTACAATTTCTGTAATGGTTTCTATTGTTTTTTTCAGCAGGCACGCAGAAATGAGAGTATAGTTCCTAGTCATATCAGCCTAGAAAATCGCAACTTTACATTTCCTGTCTGTCTTAGTGCTAGATGTAACTATAGAAGAGTCAAGTTTTAAATAGGAAAAATATCTAAACACTTTGGTAATTTTTTTTGGAAAATGCTAATGGTCTTGTGCACTTCAATGATGTATGCTAAGCTATGCTAAAAGTGGTACTGCCAGAACCGGAGATCGACTGAATGGGCTCAAAAAGGTAAAACTCAACAGTTTAACTCTGAGGGAGTTGTAAAATGAGCCTATTTCCAAAAAAAAAAAGTGAAGTATGCCTTTTTAAGTGTCTTAAGTGTCTTGCTCAGGGACACATTGGTGTCTCACGGTGGCTTCAAACCCAGATATCTCACACCAAAGGCATTTGTCTTATAGACTGCGCCATCACCACCCATTTCTCATACTGTTTTTCATCTACTATATTGTAGTGAAGTATGCATTTTCTGATGCAGATGTAGAAATGGTATGCCTCCAGGAACAGGGTTGGGAAACACTGGCCTGAAGTGCTGCATTATTTAATTCCTGTCACAGTAAGTTTAGAATCGATGTAATTGGAATAGATAACTTTTGAATTAATAGAGTACTACCATTCAGTTTTGTGCCTTATACATCACACATAATTGAAAAGAAACCCATGAAATCCATCCAACCATTTTACAAACCACTTGTGTATCAAATAACTTGACTATTCAATATTCTGTTAAAGCTTTCATGATGACACAGGTAAAACTTTGATTGGCTCTAATAACTAAAACACTGAGTGGCAAAATGAGGCATTGGACTATTTCATTATTAAAAAATATTTTTCCCCGGGTACCATAAAACATTGAATAAGCCCCTGCTAATGCTAATCGCAGTATTGTATTACCCAAAGCTGGCATATGGCTTGGCAGAGCACACCCTTTCAAAGGGTTTGACATGAGATCCTTGGAGATCCTGGTTAAATGGAAAGAGACTGTTTTTGTGTCTGTAACTTGTTTCAGGAATCTCTTCTGAAATTGGATTTTTGTGAGAATGAAGAAAAGGTCAAAGAGTATGTACCATGATAGATGGCTTTAAATATGATTTGAAATGCTTTTTCAGGTGGCTTCAAGAAGGCTGAATGTTTTTTTTTCTCTCTCATAATCCCTCTTGTTGTCTTTTCCATCGTAGGCTGGCACCAAGGGGTATATGGCGCCAGAGATCCTGAAGCGTGAACCCTATCGTACGTCAGTGGACTGGTGGGCATTGGGCTGCAGCATCTATGAGATGGTGGCTGGCCGTTTGCCCTTTAGAGATCACAAAGAGAAGGTTACTAAAGAAGAGATAACAAGGAGAACTCTTGAAGACAAGTGCAAATTTGAACATGAAAATTTTGACGCCCCCTCCAAGGACATCATCAGTCTTTTTCTGAAAAAGAACACTGAAGAACGCCTCGGCTGCAAGTAAGTGGCAGCGTTTCTGTGTTTCATGGCAAGAGGACACACTGTTTCCACTCTAGGTCATTATTAGGACATGGTCAGTCCAACTGCCCTCCGTGTGCCAACAGAGGAGCAGAAGCTTTACTCTGTCAGCAAATTTAAGCCAGGGTGGCAGCAAATCGAAGAAACAGGCCGTTTATGTCAGCCTTTCGCATTGAGAGCAGTGGTTTTGGAGCCGCGGCACTGGGTTTGGATGGAGCAAAGCATGAATGTTAAAACAAAATAGCTCTGTCTTTTTTCATTCTGTGGGTGAAGACACAAAGATATTTAATATCAGCTTCATTGCTCATAGGTTTAAATGACATTTTAACATATAATACTATTCCCAATGTCAGTTGCTGAAACTATTTCAACCCACTAAAATTTGTATTTGAATCCTCTTATAGGAGCACTTTCATCCAAAAATGAAAAATGTGTCATTATTTTCTCACCCTAATGGCAGCCCAAATCCAATTTTTCCCATTGAACACATAAGGAGAATTGTTTTAAGAATCTTTATGCAGCTCCTGTCACATCTGTCAAAAATGGCCAAAAACCATAAAATCGAATAATAGAAGTAGTCAATATGACTCATGCCCTTTTGAGTCTTCTGAAGTAATTTCAATTTTGAGTGAACAGACTAAAATGTAAGTTATTATTCACTTGACAATCTTCAGCTCTCAAATCAAACATGGTGCCGACAGATGTGTCACACCAGATTTAATGTCAATGGGTTTAGAAACAAGGCCTGCAAAACCCATCCTTTTATGTCATCGACGTCCAACCTGCAGTATTGGCTCCACTTTTGATTTGATTTGCGACAGAGGGGAATATTGTCAGTATAAAATGACTTTGGTCTATTTATCACAATGCTTTTGCAAGGCTTCAAAATACTCGTATACTGGGACGGATAGGTGGCTCAGTGGTTTGTGCCTCCGCACCCACAACATAAGGTCTCGAGTTCAAGGCCTCTCTGTGTGGAGCTTGAGTAGACTTTAGCTTCATCTCTAATTAAACACACTTGCACCAGCTAATCAAGGTCTTCGGGATTACTAGAAACTTCCGGGGAGGTGTTTTGGAGATAGTTGGAGCTAATCAGGACATTGTCCCTCCAGGAGTTGAGTTAGTGCTTTAATATTTTGGCTAAGAAAACTGTTGGTAAACTTAATGCAGTAACCATAAATGTATCCATATATGACTTATTTTTGACTGTAAACTTGTTTTTTTGCCCACAGGGATGACCCTCGGAAACACGAGTTCTTCGAATCCATCAACATCCGTCGGCTGGAAGCGGGACTTATCACACCTCCATGGGTGCCCAAACCCAATGTTGTGTACGCTAAAGACACAGGTGATATCCGCGACTTCTCTGAGGTTAAGGGGATTGAATTTGATGCCAATGATGAAAAGTTTTTTAAGGAATGCAGCACAGGGGCAGTGCCAATTCCATGGCAACAGGAGATGATTGACAGTGGACTCTTTGATGAGCTTAATGACCCAGATAGGAAGAAATTGTCAGCGGGACTGAATGATCATGATGATGAGCAAAAATCCAAATCTTGCACTCTTCTGTGACAAAATAAGAATATATTGCACAACAAAATAAATGGTTTTATTAACTAATTTAACTACCTAAACACACACCCTTGTTTTTTTTTTATCTTTTCCTGTAAGCTCACAATTTTGAAGAAAAGAGCTTACAGTAAATGTACTTTTACGTTTTTTTTATTTATTTATTTTTTTGGTCATAATTATACATTTTATTATTATTTTGTAGTGTTATTTTCTTTTAATATCAAGTGCTTTTATTGAGCATTGGTTTAAAGGTTATGAATTGTGTGTTCTTCTGATGGTTGATGCATTGGCTAAATAATGTGACGTTGCTGCGCTGTTAATAGACATGTTAATATTTTTTTCTGCAATTGTTCATTTTTTTTAAAAAAAATTATGTTGGTAATATAATTTATAATAATTTTAAAAATCTAGTTTCTCTAGCTAAATATTTTTACAGTCACAGATCTCAGTGACTTATGCTTTACTGATCTTTACTGAACTTTAACATGTTTCCTGAGAACGTCTTAAACAGTTTGACATGAGACAAGCTTACTTGATATGCATAAATGCTCTGAAGAACGACTATGTTTTTTACCATGTCTATACTTTATTTTTTCCACGTATACGGCTAAAAAAGTCTAATCGAAAAGAAATACCTAATGGCTAAATGAAATTCTAATTGTGTTGAAAATATATACCTTAATGTCTTTAATGCCTGTGTAAATTGCTGTGTCAGTTATGATAAGGTCCCCTTAGCAATAAACCGGCCATTAAAAATAACATCAGAGCTCAGTGGAAACTTCTGCCACTGGCTTGGAGTGCCGACACACTTGTCAAACAGTCACCACTTCCAAACACACTTGAAGATGCAGAATCTACTGATTGGTATATGAACAGCAGAGGTCGCTGTTCACAATAAGATACTGCTGTATATTAGGCGGGAAAATGACTTGCACTGCATCCATGGTGAAGAAAGTTTATCCAATTCAAAGGACTATTGTTTTTATGTGTGCTGGTAAAAATTTTAGCTGTGTTCATAAGTAGATTTTCATAAATCCTGTTCTTGTCATGGGGATTATTAATGAAATATGATGAAGGATGGGGTCAGGCAAGGCATGGGAAAGAGGCTTGTGACAGGGTGCAGATATTTGCCCTTCTCCTCCATGTTCCTGGATGACACCTCAGCTGTGTGATAAACAAGCTGTCCCGAGGCGGGTGGAAATCTCTGGGTGTGGTCTGGCCAGACAGACTCAGACCCTCTGCGCTGCACCCTGCACCACATGCTCCAGTGTTTTGTCCCCGACTAACGGGAACCGACTGAAATAGCCAGTGGTTTCATTAGAAAAACAAGCCTCGTCTGTTTGCATTATGGGTTTACGTTATTAAATGTGAATATTTTTATGCTCCTTTGCTCTTAATCATGACACAGAATGTTCCATTATTGGAATGTGTGTCTGACCGTGTCTGGCTCTCTTTTATCCATGCACATGATTTTTTAAAGTCGGCATGAAATTTGATCTTCTTTTTATATGTAATATTGTAGTGTTTATTATAAATGATTTATCCGTGCACTTCAATATTTTTTTAAAAATTCATGTACCCTTGATATCTTTAATCAAATACATTACCCTTCCCTCCCCCATCGAAACGACCTCTCTCTCTTTTGGTCACGTGGAATGGCAAAAGGGTGTGGCCAGATCTGATGAGGGTGCGACTATCGGTGCACCACCTCTCAGAGAATCGCATTCAAATTGTTTGCAATGCCCAACCTCCAACGATCTAATCAATTATCGAAGGATGAAATCAAGTCCTGCCCTTCATTTTTTTTCTAATTTCAGAAGCCGTTTCACTTGGATATACATCACGACAAGGAAAAAATAACCATCTCAACTTTTATTTCACGCTGATTTTTTTTTTTTTTTAAATATCATAATCTCGTAATCTTTTATCAAAATAACTTCCCCTTCCTTTTGCTGTGACATCTCTTCAACTATGACGTGTTTACTGGCGTGAGTGTGAAATTCATGAGATCATCACAGCCATAGCAAACCACAATGATCCAATTAATTCCTGATAGACATGATCAAGTGCTGTCCTGCATTTTTTTACATTTTGACCACTGAAATAGAAAATGTCCCTCCATTTCAGAAATCTGGTCTCCTTGAAGTTGACTTGAAACAAAGTTGCAATAGTTCCTATTGTGAAGTATATTTGAGGGAAACAGCTTCTTGAACAAGAAATAATGTAGGGTGGGACTTGACTTTGACCATCAGGAATTGAGTGCATCGTTGAATGTTGTGGTTTGTTATTCCTGTGATTTTATGTGAGTGACAGGTTGCCCCGCCCCAACGCATCACCAGAGAAGAGATGTCACTGCAAAAAGAAGAGGAAGTTATTTTGATTGAAGATTACAAGGCCATGTGATTAAAAAAAAAAATATATATGATGTGCACATAAATCATTCACAATAAATACTGCAATATTCCATACATTTTCTTGACTTTAAGTTCTTCATGGCTAAATTAGCAGCGTACGATGAACAGCCTCCTCTGTTGGTGAAAACAATCAATGGACGATTTCTCTGTGCTATATTTTCTATCCATTCATCATCAAAAATGTTTTTCTTATAGCATGTGAGGAGTGATGGGAACACGCTTATCCTTTTTCTACGTAGTCTCAGCCTCAAACGTCACGCCCACGGACAGTTGGCAGCACACTTGATGCAGGTAGCACACAAAATGATAAAAACTTTGGGAGTTTCGAAATCATAATCTGATTAATTGAATCAAATCGGGAAACGTGAGTCGTGTTCTTCAATGGTCTGCCTGAAAACAAAGTCATTGTGATGCCAAACCCCCTCATGGAAAAAGAAAGCTGTTGTCTCCAAAGTTGTGTTTACGGTAACACTTTATATTGCGACCCACAACAACTGCATACCTGTAAGTAAACTGAAATTACAGTGTATGTTTATGTAATTATAGTGTACTTCCATATAGGTATAAGGGAACAAGTTATGTTTTGGGTAATAAAGGGATACAACCAGAAATTATTATTTTTTTGGCTTAACGTTAAGTAGTTTAGTAAGAAAAGCCAATGAATTAAATTTTTATCATACTGTGCTTACATACAGCCATATATATATATATATATATACTGTATATAGCTGCGTATCCACCGCAAGGACTTTCCCCAGGAACTAGGAACCAGGGTCTAAATGGGTCTAAACCAAGTTCCGGTTAAAAATTCCCCCCCAGAAAGTCCCTGCTGGCGAGGTAGTACTTTTTCAGAGTTCGGGAACTTTCGGGATGGGACTTGTGCGCTGAACATGCTGATTGTTTTTTACCACTTGTTCTTTCTGCCTGATGGCGCGCGTTCGTCCCATCCATCTCACGGTCAATGTCCGCTGATAACAAACGTTTACTTTTATATCTAGCATTACAAGCTTTCTGAATACGCTTTGGGTGCTCATCTCTTTTCTGCCATTTTGTTAATTACCTCGTTAGTAAACCAATCGCAAACAAAAGCAGCACTAAACTAAAACAAACGCACAGACTGGGAGGAGCAGTCGCACAACCATATCTGGTTGTACCCCTTTATTATCCAAAACCCAGACAGCAAACTGACATTGAATCAACGTGGAAACGACGTCTCTCATGACATTGAAACAACGTTGATTTTGCTCATCGAATTAACGTTGAACCAACGTCAGACGCGGCATTCTTCAAAGCTAAATGAAAATCGAAAATTGGTTTGATTTCAAGTTGATTTTCCGTTAGTTTTGAAAGAATGACGCGTCTGACGTTGGTTCAACGTTAATTCGATGAGCAAAACAATGTCAGATCAACGTTGTTTCTATGTCATATTTCCACGTTGATTCAATGTCAGTTTGCTATCTGGGAACTTATTATATGGTTCCCTTATACCTACACGGAAGTACACTATAATTACAGAAATGTACACCGTACACCATTTTGGTTTACTTACGAAGTTGTTTGCGGGTCGTAATATAAAATGTTACCGTGTTTACTACTGTGAAAACAAACGCTTATCAGGATTGGATTTTCAAAAGTATGTGAAGGTCTCAGCACCATTGTTGCGGTAGACTTTCAGGACGTTCTTGAAATAATTGCAAGCCGGTTTTGTTATCGTGGATACATCGACTTTACATTTTCACACCGTTAAACATGACGCTGAACACAGCGAACTATGATTGGTTGCTTTACGTGGGTTCAGACATCCTCTTGGGTGGTCCTGGGCAAGCTGCTATGGAGTCTAAAACTTCTGCTGTCTGAAGGACTGGTTATGCAAGGCTAATTTCTACATTGCAGACAATAACAGCAGCTGAAGGACAATTGATCTTCACAGCTCAAATAACACATTTTTAATGTTAAATAATGAATAAGTACTTTAACAAAAATGTGACATGCACATCGTTGCTTTGCATCATAGACTTCCATTGTAAGGGCATTCCTCTAAATTATTTTGTACATACCAATATGCCATTCAGTTTGAAATAAATCCCGTTATTAGGCTGGCAAATACACAAGAATGCTTTATATGAATGAGATTCTCCTCTGGGCTTGACAACACATGTTACATTTCCAGAGGACTTTATGTGGTGTCATCACCTCTTACAAATGATCTTGTCTGTTCCAATACCAGTTGAAAGAGTGTTTAGAGCAATTGATCTTGCTTTTGAATGCAATAGGCATAATTGCTTAGAGATTTTTACTTGTGTTGGAGTAATTTGCAGTTCTTAAGTGTTTAGTGGTGGATATTAAGCCGTTTTATCCAAACCGCCATCTGAAGGCCCCCTCTTCGGGTATCTTCTTTTACATTGAAATTATTAGGTTCAGATTTCACCACAGCGGCACAGACAGTGCTCTCTAATCTCATTTAACAAGCTGACATATGGCAGTTAACAGAATACTCTCATGCAACCCTCCACTTCAGCCTTCTGCTTCACACTTTAACAGACTGCGGTCAGTCCTACAACATTTCAGAGAGGTTAATGTCATTTTGACAGTGTTTATGCACAGACGTACTGTACACTTAGTTTGAGACACTTCCATTTTATAATTATTTAATTCAGGACTAAAGCAAGCATCACTATCCATTGTTTTAGTTTTTAACTAGAAAGTCTTCTGACCTACGTATTATACTTATATAATTCATCTTGCACAAATGAATGGCATCTCAAATTGTACTGCTTGTTATGGACAGGAGTGCTATCACTTTTCTAAGATTATTTGGTAACACTTTATTTTACAGTGTCCTTGTTACATATGTTACACGTACTTACCATAATAATAACAGTAAAATTATGCATAATTACTTGCAACTAACCCTCAACCAAATCCTAATCCCACCCAAACCCTGTAGTACATGTAGTTGCTTATTACCCAGAACTTAAATATATAATTATTTAAGAATTAAGGTGTTGCGAATTAGCCTTGGCTATTATATGATACAGGCATCGGATTGTTCTTTATGTAATAATCTATGTTTTTTTTTGTATCTGTCCCTACGCATAAGTTCCGCATTTGACGTAAGGATGCTCGTCCATTTCCGGTTGTGTAGATTAAAGCGGAGGAAAACCGGAGAAAACGGGATTATGGCAGAGTCTTCAATATTTACTGTCCTCCCGTCTTTGAAACGAAACGTACATACGTTTAGATGTAATTTTATATATAGTTATGTTTATTTAATATA